AACGCGAAAGTATTTGTCATACTTCCACTTTACGCTGGTCTTCTGTGAGGTCGTGGTACTTACCCGGACGGGCCTGCCCATTCGTGCAACAGCCGAGGCTGCTGCGTGGCCCTACCACCGTAGACGTTTATGCCTGCTTTTCCCTTAAGAATCAAACTCGTAACAATGCTCCTATATTTTAAGTTTCTAGTAGTTGAAGTACATTGAAGTGGATTCATAAATTTATATCTTACGTAAGGTCGCCTCCCTCAGCCCTCCTCATGGCCTTCCGTTATATTTTTAGTTCCAATCAATACGGGCGTAATTTTACACTATACCATAAACTATCTTTTTTATGTAAAAAGTTTGTAAGCGAGCATTGGGCCAGGGAATCCATCCCGCCGATGGAAATCTGAAACACCAGAGGTATTGTAGTTGCTAAACTTTAGGTCAGTCTCGGCTACCTCACACAAAGGAATTGTACTTTTACTTCATCCAGGTCTTCTGTGGCCTGTGCTACTTCCCCATACGAGTCCGTCCATTCGTAAAACAATGGATGTATCTTGTCTCCATAGTTAGATTCATGTAGCGCATTCATCTTTAATTAATACAAATTTAATTAGCATACGTTAAAGTGAAATAACACGAAAGTTTGATGGCACAGAAATGGCCTCCATTGCAATCCAGTTGATGATTGAGATTATAATTAAAATTAATTACTTAAAAGTATAATTATTATTATTTAAAAGACGATGGGTCATAGCTTATTCAGTAGCGGGGCTTTTTCGGCCTTTTTCGTCACGGAAAGAAACCAATCCAGCTACGAGCGGTGTTAACAGTTCAGAGATCAAAGATTTGAATTGGCCTTTATATAATCATTCTCAAATTATATTCTTTATACGGTATATTGAATAAGGAAATTAAATTAGAATTGTATGAAGCACGTGATAGTCAGCTATCTGACAAAAGTAATCTTACTGTGAAAAAAATGACTTCGCAACTGTCAAAGGTCGCGCAATAATCGCTTGACCTACAAGTTTTTAATTAATTTTATGCTTCTCATAACGATAATCTCGCTTGTTTATATTTCACGCAAATTTTTTTTCGCTTGAATTGTGTTTCTTGTACCAATAAGTTCCGAATATTCGGAACTTATTGGTAAATTAGTGTCATAATTCACCCACACAATTACATTAAACTAAATTTAAAAAGCATTAAAAGTCCTTAAATTAAGCTACATAAATATTACTTAATCAAGTGTAGGAAATGTTCAATTGTTCACATTGTCGAGTTCAATTCCCGCTAGAGCTAAAATTTGTGCGATATTTGTAACACAGACATTACAAATATCGCACAAACGCAACTAAACGCTATGCGGGAGACGTTTTATCTTCGTGTTCTTCTTCTACACATGATAGAAATGATACCTCGGATGTTAATATAAAATGTCTAACGCGTGCATCTACAACACTTCTTATTTCTGATCTTATTCGATCGCTTTATATTGTGTATCTCTGTCTCATGTAACGAAAAGTGGCTTGAAACTACAGTATAAATTCGTGTCCAATTATCGAATCAATTGTCTACCTGATTGGCGTTGGGAGTAGTGCACCTGCCTCTTACACCAGAGTGTGCGGTTTCGATTCCCACAACTCGAAAAATATTGTGTGATGAACATAGTGTCTTTCCAGTGTCTGGGTGTTTATATTTGTATAATATGTATATATTCACAAAATGAAAGTAAGTTTAAGTTTGTCTATCATTTTTCTAGTATCAGAGTACATCGTTGCTTAGATTGGGCATAGAGAACGTTGTGTAAACATGTGTCTAAAAATATTTGTTACTATCCGATACATTTAATCACCGTCTAAGCATTTTCACTTAAGAATAGCAATAAGATCAGTCAATAGCGAATTGCAACGTCCATAGGAAATACCTACAGAACTGAGCTGATGTATTTAAAAAAGTTCACATCGCTGCTTGTTAATTAGAAGAAACTCAATACAAGTTCCACGTATGCAAGAATAGAACAGGTAACGAGTATTTTACCGCCTTCTAAATTCTCTTTCATCGTAACACGTGGCTCTAAACTATAAAAATATTTATGTAAGCAAATTTTCGGGAGTAACAGTTAATTTTATTTAAAATTCGTTTTTAAATGTCTGTTTTAAACTTAACTTTTGGATATTTCACAAACCGTGTTCAGGTATAACTGAGGAATATGTACATATATTTATTTTATATTCATATCACGAGATTATTTTAAAATAATATTTCTTTAACATGCAACAGTGACAATTTATTTTAAATTATTCGTTGGAAATAAGATCTTTTCAACAGATTATTACTGTTTCTTTTCTAAACAAAATTTTGAAAAATCTAAAATTTAACAGTAATAAAAAAGGGAGACAACAAGACCGCATGGTTACTTATCAGTTCTTCTCTGGACAGGTCTAGTTTAGTGAACCGGTGGTAGTTTTATGAGGTTCAATAAGAACTTAAAATAAGCCAATATTGAATAAAGCAGTTCTGACATTGACTTTGAATAGAAATGCCTATATCGTCTCAAGTACTTGTCGAGAAACCTTGATAGGTGTTATAAGATACAGTAAGTTTGCTAAATTAATAGTGTATGGCCTTTTTTAGTTAATCTGTTAACAAAGTAGCATGTTTTGCCTCGCCCGATAAGGCATCTACTATACGATCGTTAGTCGTCTTTTGAGTATAGATTGAGTATATCCTATTGGTCAATAGTGTCTAAGACAATACATTACAATCTAAGGAAAAACAAAAGCAGACCAAAAATACCTTATATATAAAATAACAATAATTATTGATATCTTATATAAAAAAATAAAAATGTGTATTATGTTTCTCTCTATTAAACTAAAAAAGTTATGTTATGTTACGTAAGAAAAATAGGAAGTTTGTTATTTTCTTACTGACGTTTAGAATGACGTCTGTTTAGTATGACGTGTTTGTCGCTTACCTTTGACGTCATTAAAACAGATTTTACTGTATTGCACGTAGATTAGAGGAACGTATACTATGACCGTGAACCTGTGTTTTTATCCCACATTTTTATTTCTGAACATGCCGCGTCAAGTACCAGTACCGTATAAAATAACGCTTTCAACAACAGATGTTTGAAAAGACACCGTGGCACAGTTGTACCTTGTATTGGCTTCGGCGAAGGGGGTCGTGGGTTCGATTCCAACACGGGACAACTATTTGTGTGACTGACAGATATTCGGAACGGGTTGTTTGTCCACGTGAAGTTTATATATAATGTAAAACGTCCTTTTTAGAATAATGACATCCTATAGTACCGTTACAGTTGTAAAAAAATAAACAATTAAAAATCCTTGAGCTTAATAATCTCAAGTGCACTTAGCAACACGGCTCGTTTGATCAGTCGGTGGCGACGTGCGGGATGACATCATGATACGTGACGTTAATTGTTTTATGGAACGCCGTCAACAAGTCTATAAGACGATCGTAACAAGTGATAAATGACAATCAACTTGTTCGCGTAACGCGCCATCAAAACGTGCCGACACATGCAGCCTCCTTTTTGATTGGTCACTGGCAACATCTAGAGCATGATGAAGAGATAACGTTGAGACGTAATGTTTTCGACGTATACAGCGTGTCATTACAACCGCTAAAATAAATGAACACACGTCTAACGCTACTTGCCATAAAAAATATAAAACGTTAAAAATCCATAATTAAAAAAAAATATTTTTCAAACAAATTAATTAAATAAAAAAGAAACCAAATTTGTAACATCCTATACAACTACAACTGACTGATTCATACATTCAGAGACTTTCATTCGTTGCCACAACGTCGCATTACAAGCCTCTCTTTCTAACAGTATGTTTTGTCTCTTTTAAATTCATTCAACCCATTCATATGCTTTTTGACCTTTACAAATGAACTTTACGTTACAGTTTTATACGTAAGGGTGTTGGGTGCTAAAAATGTTTGAAGAATGTAAATGCTTAATACAGTTTTAAAAAGTTATCCCCTATATGTGTGTTCATTTATTGTCGCGGTTGTAACGACATGCTGTATACACAATTGAAATTGCTTTGCACAGCCACCAAAGGCTTATGCCTTAGCCTGCCAAGTGGTGTTGAAGATGAACCACCTGCCCGCTTGCTAATAACATTAAAAAATCATATTACTTTAGAAAGGTAGAGTTAAACTACACAATATTTTCGTAGACACGATGATTCGAATTAACCGTATAATACAGTGATATATACTCGGTGGCGCAGTTGCTGAGCTATAGACTTCGGGGCGGCGGTTGTGGGTTCGATTCCAACACGGGACAAGTATTCTCGTGACCGGCACATAATTTTTCTCGATATGGGTGTTTGTTTCCCAAGGAGCGTTGTCAGGCAGGCGGCCGGGCGTAAAAAATATGGACAAAACCGCTTACAGCGTGATACACTCGTTGTGCAGACCCCATAAGGCATAAACACAGTAGGATAGTGATGATTGTATTGTTAATCCAGTGTCTGGGTGTTTATATACGTATAATATGTATTTATATACAATACTTGTATCTTGTATCAACTGATGTTTTTGCTTTCAGTGCCAAGACTATTAAAGCTTCATCTGACGCAGAACCGGTGGGCTAGCCAGAACCCATGGGTTTGGGCCCTCCGCTGTGGGTAGTGTAATCTAAGGGCCATCGAGGTCGCGGTTCGGACCGAAAACCCGATGGCCGTCGATTGTGCAATTAGCTAATGTTTACAAAACACAAGTACGTTTATCAGTTTTCTAGTACCCATAGTACAAGCGTGTCTTAGTTTGGAACTTAACATGACATAACTATGTAAAAATGTGGAAATATTTTTGCGGACGCAAATCTTCATTTATTTATTTTAAATATGTCGTGTATACCTATGAAACTACTTTTGTTCCAGTCCAGCACGTCCAGCTTCCCGTTTCCGTAACCAGAAACACGTCGGAAAAAGTGTCTTTTAAGGAAAAAACTCTTTTCCAAGATGGAATCACATGAGAAGGAGGCCAAGATCAGGGGCCAAGCTCTTGACAACATGGCCTTTGAAATGACAAGTAATGGTAAAACGATTATTTAAAATAGTAGTTAGTACATGATTACTACCTACGACAACAATTATTCAAGTTTATTACAAATCATTAAGTTATCTGTAATTAGGGATGGTTCAATAAACTTTTAGAATGATTTTAATCGAGAACGAGAAGAGAAGAAGACAACATTAGGAAACAATTGTAGTCTGCGAAATATTTTAAAATGATTTCAAATTATTTCAATGATATCATATACGCCAATAGCCGTAGATATAGATTGCGTTTAAAAATTTTCCCCCTTCCCCCCTCTAATAGCTAAGCTTGATTTGTAGCATGATATTTAATGCTGAATATAATTTATTCGCGCAAAATACAGAAACATCACCCCAACCGCCGCCGAGTCCGAGCAAGCTGAAAGACTTGGACGACCTGTTCCCTTACATCGGCGACTTCGGCTGGTACCAGAGGATCCTCTTCTTGTTGATGATCCCCTACGGTTTCTTCTTCGCCTTCGTGTACTTCGCCCAGATATTCATGACAGTGGTGCCCGAACAGCACTGGTGCTACGTGCCAGAGCTGAGTAACCTATCGGTTGAGGAAAGGTGAGTGATATAGTTGTTACTTTATATAGGAGCCGTGATAGCTAGGCGATTGCTTTTCATTCAATATAACCGAGCGACCTTAAGTCAAGTCCCGGTACCGATGAAATTCTTAAGGTGCGTACGGACTGCGCGTTCCAGTGTTCTGCGTAGTAGGAATACGATGGCCACGCGTACATTAGATACGCGTACAGCTCTACTGCTCTAGGTCGTGGTCTATCGACCCATAGTGCTACGCGAGCCTCGCCAGTCTTCCGCCATGATTCTGAGAAACATAGCGGTGGCGTGCACCACCACTGCTGCGGCTTTGCTAAATATTCAACACATTTTGAATAAGATTTTTTAATATTCGAATTTTGACTTCATTAGAAATTGCCTTCTATGCATCTTCGCGTAAATTGTTATTTCAATAGCTAGTTAGTGTGCTATCCCACAACACACGAGCGAAATTCATAAAGTTGAATTATTATAATAATATTTGCATTATTGATATTCGTTGAACACGCGTGCCTATCCATATTGCCGTCCAAATAGAGCGTACCCAGGCTCAGGCATAACCTAGTATATAAACTTAACACACATTCTTTTAATTGAAAATTAACACTGAATGATATCACGTCCCGTTCTACAACCTAGATTCGTTTCTAATAACGTTCCCGCCAATTGGGCAACTTCAGTTGAATTTTGTGCAAAATTTTTACAGACGCCACCTATCCATCCCTCTGTTGGACGACAACAAATACGACAGGTGCCGCGTGTATGACGTGAAGTGGGAAGAGTTACTAGAGACTGGTGTCACACAGCCGGATAAGAGCTGGCCAACGAAAAAGTGTCAAGAGCGGTGGGAGTTCAACTTCACGGATGTACCGTACGAGACTATTGCAACACAGGTTAGGGTACATCGTCATTACATAAATAGACAGTTTGCTATCCCGAAAACAATTCAAATTAAATCATTTATTCATCGAAGTAAGAAATGTACATTTTGAACTATCGATAGTCATTTCTTTTCTTTTTTTTATGTGAAAAGTGAATACCGCCGCCCATGGACATCCGCTACACCCGAGGGTTGCAGATGCGTTGACAACCTTTTGGAAATTGGGCTCCGGCTACCTCACTCACCAGACGAAACGCGAAAGTATTATACTTCCACTTAACGCCGGTCTTCTGTGAGGTCGTGGTACTTACCCGGACGAGCCTGCCCATTCGTGCAACAGCCAGGGCTGTTGCGTGGCCCTACCACCTACCTATCATTTTTTTAAATTACCACCGTTTCGTTAATTCAAGGACATTTTACATATACATTAATAATTTATTATCTTGACCATTCTAAACCTTCTGCGAGAAGGAGAAAACGACACAAAGTCTTTAAGCCTTATGAGAATCACGGGGAAAGATTATATTTTATTTATAACACAAGTCGAAAATGCTTCTTTTTGTGGCAGTTGGGATGGGTGTGCGACAGAGATAACTTCCCAGCTACGGCCCAATCTATATTCTTTTGTGGCGCCATCATTGGTGGTCTACTCTTCGGATGGATTGCTGATAAATACGGGAGGATACCGGCTTTAGTAGGTATGACAACATTAATTTACATTTCTATATCGAACATTCTATAGGAATTGTCCAGTTTATTTATTAATAACGTTTCCTTTTCAGGCACTAACATGACTGGATTCTTCGCTGGAGTCGGAACTGCTTTCACGAACAGCTTCTGGTCATTCTGCCTTTGCAGATTCCTAGTGGGTCTGGCTTACGACAACTGTTTCGTTATCATGTACATTGTTGGTGAGTTGCTTTATTTTCCACCCATATCGTCTAATTCATCTGAGTATTTTTTATGTTAGAAGGTAGCAAGCGAAATGGCAGTTCAACTGATGTTAATTGATGACCGCCACCCATCGACATTTTCAACCGCATATCCGTTGCTACCTTTTAAAAAAGTGGACTCCGGTTACCTCACTCACCAGTTGAATTGCTCTCGTTGGTTTTCTATTAGTTTGTGGTACCTCCGAAGATGAAGAATGTGACGTAGCCCTACCACAGTTTTTTTTATTTTACGGGTCTGACAGTAGTGACAGTGCAAAATACGCTATTCCTGGCAGAATGAATCCAGTACCAAACAATGACGATGATGTTAAAGTATTTTACATAACAATGAAATTCACCACGTCATATCAAAGTCGCTCTCATTGTTTGTACGCTTAGATCTTTTAAACTACGCAACGGATATTATTGCAGTTTTCAGCAATAGATGGAGTGATTCAAGAGGAAAGTTTGTATGCTCATGACACCCGTGCAAAGCCGGGACGGGTCACTAGTGTATATATAAATTTAAGTTCGTTGTTAGGGCCACGCAATAGTCATCGCTGTTACACGAATGGGCAGGTCCGTCCGGGTGAGTACCACGACCTCACAGAAGACCGGCGAGAAGTAGAAGTTCTGCGTTACGTCTGATAGAGTTAGCCGAGGCTAGTTAGGTGAAAATTGCCACAATACAGGTGTTGCAAATGCCCAAGGGCAGCGGTAGTCACTTACCATCAGGTGAAACGCCAGCTCGCTTCCACCTTCTCACATAAAAAAAATCAAATTCGTTGTTATGTCGACAGTTGTGGAGTACGTCGGTCCAAAATGGCGGACTTTCGTCGCCAACATGTCTATCGCTGTGTACTTTACATTCGCGGCGTGTCTGCTGCCCTGGATAGCGCTTGGTGTTGCCGACTGGAAGATCTACACTCTGATCACCAGCGTACCTTTGGTACTCTCCATCTTCACGCCCTGTGTCGTCCCCGAGAGTGCACGGTAAGCAACAAAAAAATACTTGATGAAACTTCGAGTAGTTTCGCACTATACGATGTATTGTAAAATTGTTACTTTTAACAAAAATATTAATTATATTTGACGTCCCGATTAGCGTAGTGAGAAATCAACCTGTCTATTTCGGCAGAATGTGTGGGTTCGATCCCTACTACTGGAAAAACATTGTGTGATGAATATGTACTTATTTACAAAAGAAAGGTACGTTTAAGTACGTTTAAGTTTGTTTATCAGTTATCTAGTACCCATAATACAAGCGTTGCTTATTTTGGAACTAGAGGACGTGTTTCAAAATGTGCCTTAAATATTTATTTATTCGTACATATCAAAATATATTAGTTTATGGATATGATTTGTTTTTAATAAACATCATAGTCCTAAACAGATATTTATAAACTGTCTAGACACTTGTGTCTGTTTCATTCAATATTTTTCCCTTTCTTGTTACGTATGTGTGTTGTATTATCATTAAGATGGTGCTTGCAGCTTAAAACGGATTCAAATTGTTTAACAAATACCCAAAGACTATAAAAGGAAGCAGATAAATTATTCAAGTTGAATCACTAGCCTAATTAATTAGATGACGTAGAGTGTAAGCCCGCAATAAAAATTTGCAGATGCATTTAAAATAAGTGTTTTTCAGATTTGATGAATGTGCTGTTTACGAAATATTACCTGGGTCCGCTAGTGAGTTAATATAACGTTAAGTTATTCTTTATTTATTAATTTTACTTTAATAATTTTAAAACAGATGGCTAATTTCACAAGGGCGTATCGACGAAGCGATCAAGATATTGAAAAACTGCGAACGGGTCAACGGGAAGAAGATACCAGACGCTGTGCTTAAGGAATTAGGGTGAGAACGACATACTGTAAAAGACATTTCCCAACCTTGAATTAAACGGACCCCTTTACAATTACGGAAGAGAAATGAAACAAAAAAATATATGAAAAACCTATCCAAGTGAAATGTCAATATGTGAAATCTGTCAATCCGCAATTGTACTTACGTCCTCTGAGAACTTTTCCAAGCGATATATTATTATCACGAGCCGGCTAGTCCTTGGCTGCTATGTCAGTACACTACAGATTGTAAGAGATAACAGAGCCATATATCGTCGAAGTACAGGAAAAATCACCTTTGCCTAGAAATCCACATTACACTTACTGTTATTTGCTTTACTAGGGTTTTCTGAACTAACGAATCCTACAGGAGACGGCGGCAGAAATCGCGAGGGTCGAGCAGGAGACTAGGAGCTACTCGGTGCTGGACCTGGTACGGACACCGCGTCTTCGCCGCCACAGCATACTGCTGCTGTTCATCTGGACGGCGATTGCCATGGCCTTTGATGGCCACGTGAGAAACGTGGGCTCCCTCGGTCTTGACATATTCCTCACGTTCACCGTCGCCACCGCCACGGAGTTCCCCGCCGACATCCTCCTCATACTCATATTGGACACGTCAGTAAATCAAATATTTTAGTGTCTACCTAACGTGATAGCTCAGTGTCCGGGCGCTCGCCTTCAATTCAATTTACTCGAGCAACCTGAGTTCGATCCCGGTGCCGGCACCAATGAAATTGTTGATTTTAAGTGCAGACATATTACGTGCTCAGCAGTGAAGGAAAACATCATGAGGAAACCTGCATATTTTCGAAATAATAACAAAAAAAATCGAAAAACGGCTGTCAATCCGCAGTGGGGTCGAGTGGTGGACTATGCCCTGATACCCTCTTTATAGAGGAGGCCTTTGCCCAGCAGTGCGACATTAATATGCTGTTACTTACTTTACTTTTTTTTGTTACCTTAATTTTTTTTTTACAATCAAACCACAAACTCCACTTAAACCTATGAAGAATTTGTCGCAATTTTCTCAGGTGGCAAGTGCCGTGCACAAGATGAATTGAAGTAACTCAAATATTACACCACCTATTTATCCGAGATCAGTGTGAAACAACTGCTAGAAACTGAGTGTTTTTCAGACAATTATTTCTTATTAGTTTTTAATTACTGCCTTGTATTCGAGATATAATATTCTTTAGGGCAGGCTCGCTTCTAACTCAATGCACACGAGTAACCAGACTTTAAATCCCCGTGGCAGGTCTAATGAAATAGGTGATTGCGATTTTAAGTGCTGCCTTATCACGTCTTCAGCAGTGAAAGTATAACACTGAGAGGGAACCAGCAAATTTCTAAGAAATAACAATAAAATAATACTTCGAAGATATGTTAAGTCTAGACTACGTGTTATTGGTACCTTCAGCTTCTGTATAGAGGTCTTTAATCGGTTTTATTTAGCTCGACACGTACGGAATTTGTTTGTTTACTTGGGTCAAAATTAGAAATTGAAATTTAACCACCTTCCCGTTGTCAGATTGATCTGAAATTGGTACACACATTTAATTCAGATGACAATACAATATTGTAGTTTTCAGTGCACAAAAAAAAAAAAAAATAAACCAGAAAATAAAACCGTTTAGATTAAAAGTTTTTAAACGGTTTTATTTTCTAACGCTATTACTTTATTTAACTCTATCCCGTTATGTGTTAAATTGTGTGATTATTAATCTGCCCCTTTATTCGTCAGGATCGGTCGCAGGTGGCTTGCCTTCGGTTCCATGGTGATCAGCGGTATCTTCAGTTTGCTCGCAACCGCAGTTCCTTTAGGTAAAGCAGAAGTGTCTACATAATATTTATTCATTTTCCTTTTTTATGTAGCCTTAGATAACGCCTTGAGCAAAATATCCATATATAAACGGACAAAACTTACACCCAAACCGGGTAAAATCACTGCTAAAAACTTATTAATAATATTTAGATTCCAGGTACAAGACCCTCTAATCTATTTAAAGTTGGCGTAACTAATGAATACTACAAGCACAGATCTTGACGGAATACAAATTTTGCCATTTTTGAAATATAGGAAAAATTTATTGAATTGTGAATCGAATTAATAACAATATTAGAATTCAAAATACATTTTTTGAACTACAGCTCTAGAGCACAATGGAAGCTTTCGGTTGTAAAAAATAAATAAAAAGATGGCTTTTTTTACATACCTAAAATTTATTCACAATGAACTAGGTTCGCTTTTGAAATGTTCTCTAAATATAAAATCATGAGACTCTTAAGTAGAATCCGTCGAATCAGGTATTCAACAATGTGTTTTTATTTTCTGTTGCTTCACTCACCTTCTCATCCCAGGAGTCCCATCAGCCTCGCTAGCGATCGTCGGACGCTTCTCCATCAACATATCTTACAACATCGGGATGCAGTACGCGGCCGAGCTGCTTCCGACGGTGGTGAGGGCCCAGGGCCTGTCGTTGATCCACATGACCGGCTACGTGGCAACCATCCTGGTGCCGTACATCGTCTACATGGTATACCAGCGCTATCCAGTTATACAACTCGTTGCGCATCTCGCCGAGAAAGTTTCACGGTTCATATGATACATTCGGATGAAGGAGAAAGCCCAGTAGGGTGCATAGTAATGTATGTATGTGTATTCGTTAGTTGTTCCATTTATTTGTTAAGAATGTTTATATGACGGATGTCCGCCTACACCCAAATTCTGGCTAGATCCCCAATTTGCGTCTATTGATGATCTACGATACATTAATGCAGATCTACTTCGATCTTTCAACTTTACGTCTTATCGCGGTTTAGGATTCCAATTTTAATCCTCCATGAATTTTAATGAAACTGTTTGTCGATCTATCATAGTATAAAACAAAGTCATCCCGTTGTGTGTCTGTCCCTATGTATGCTTAGATCTTTAAAACTACGCAACAGATCTTGATGTGTATTTTTTACTATATAGAGTGATTCAAGAGGAAGGTTTATATGTACAATACATTGCACTCGTGCGAAACCGGGGCGGGTCGCTAGTCTCATATAAACGATATTGCTGTAATATCCGCCATATTGTGTTATCAATTAACAATTCCAATATAATGAATTTCCACCTAGGTAGAAAGTAAGGCTTAATAACATTTACCTAAATATTGCTCATTCATTTATATGCTCTCTATTGTCTATTGTCATTTTTTTATGTCTCGTATTGAAGTCGAAAATGTCACATAATAACAATAACTGCGTAAACAGCCGCCGAATTCTGGTACGTAAACATTGTCACGAACCTTTCAATGAGACTCATAACTGAAGAGTTTCCCATCTACATCTTAGTTCCATCTTTTAGTTATATCGTAAACAACTTCCAGGCGACCATTGCAACTGAGATCCCGTTGCTCATCCTCGGCTGCATCGCGATAGCCGGGGGCTGCTTGTGCTTGAGTCTGCCGGAGTCCACCGGCAAGGATATGCCGCAGACCATACTGGACGGCGAGAACTACGGGAGGGGCCAGAGCTTCTGGGACATGCCTTACTTCGACAGGTGAGGTATTTTTAAATGTTAAGTGACAACAAAAGTAACGTTGTAGATACGTCGACACCTTTTAATAAAATGGGCCCCGGCTACCTCACTCACCAGACAAAACGCAGAAGTTTTCCACTTCCACTTCACGCTGATCTTCTGTGAGGTCGAGGTACTTACCCGGACGGACCTGCTTATTTGTTTAATGCTTTTATCTGATATACCTTTCCGTAAGGTGTTAAAATACTCAATACTGCTGGAATATTGCTGTTTGATAACGCTGATTGTAATGACTCTATAACTCCAAGTTCGTAAAAGCAATGAAAGGTGTGTAACAATAATTTTCTTATTGGCGTTATTATCTAAACATAGTTTGGGGCACAATATCTTTATAAGAAATGCGGCTCAGTGTTTTCCTTATATCTCAATTTATATATCAAAGATTAAGTAATCCATTAGGAGTATGGATTAATACCACACTTGAATGCTCAATTTCACTTACCGCTTATATCATAATTACTATATATTTCCTCAAAAGCCAATTCGAATTAATTATTTTTTCAGGCAAACCAAAAGGGGAGTTGACGACGTAAACAAGATTTGAATGACATAATTTTCAAATTATCACACTTTAAGGAGGAAATAAATAAAATAAAGATATCGAATTTTTGTTTTTCTATATTTCAACCCCTTTTTAATGTGTTTAGTTGTATAACTATGTATTTTAGAACCACGAGGCATTGAAAATATGACAGACCTTATGTCCATAGAAATTGTAAAAAAGTGATTTGTGCAAGTAGGGTATCCCAACAAATAAAACATTCGCATTGGAATTCGAACCCACGACTTAGCAAGTCAACGTTCACAAGGCAACGATAAAAATAAGAAATAAATTGTCCATATTACAATGTTTAAAGTAAATTATACAACAAACGCTTTAGACGATAACATAATTTCAATTCTCAATAATAGTACGCCAATACGATAATATTTCATAGATTCTCGATAAATACCCAGCATTCCAAGCGACAACTAGCCTTATCCTCTATATATAACATACAACACTGCAAAGATATGTCAAGGTTGCCTGCATCCAAATATATTGTGGGCAAGGCATGAGTGCCGCGGAGAGACTATTGGAGGCTATTGTCACCCTGGATACCACTGCTGGAGACCAGGGTGCAGGGGGCTGGTCTACGCGCAACCTTATCATTTCCACTGACAGTGAGACCCCGAGCGGCAGGCATGGGGGTGTCTGCCGCTCAATATTGAGTTCGTGAGGGCTGGTGTGCTAATTGCATCGTCACAGCATCATTTGGTTGGACTGAGTGTCGTGGCAATCGAGAGAGGAGGACCAAGAAGGCCATAGTCGCGCCGGGGTCGCGGAAGATATCGTCTTCGTATCCCCGGGTCCCCGGCCGATACGACAGAGATAAGTGTAGCGTGGCTTCTTAGTTGGTACCCATTTCTGACCGGGAATGCCACATACCCCTCCCACTAACCCGATCAATGGCAGGGGATCCATAAAGGATTTTATTTACAATACAAAGCATGAGAGAATAGAATTCATATACCGTTAAGACATTTATGTATATACTTTTTACTTTATTTATAGACTTTTATATATCAATAATGATGTTGTGTAAAATATCAGTTGCCATCGAAAAATAATCCGATTGGACAACTCCGACACGGAATTCATGAATGAAGGCCTCAGTGAAACGAAACATACAAAACCCCACGCTGGAGAAAACGTGCTCACAGCTCGTTCGCAGTTGTTTATAAACAAGCTTATCGCGGCCAAAAGGAGGCCGAAATCTGTCAGAGGAAAAAATAAAATTCATTGAGAACAAACAAATACATGTGGAAATTCATAACATAGCAACTTGTCGAAGCCGGTGCTTAAACAGCGCTGCGGTGGGAGTGTCGATAAATCTATCGATAGGATGCATTTTCTGAATCTTTTAGTGATGAACAATTTATTATGCATTTACTCTTCAACATCAATACAGTAATATGACAATCGTTAGTATTTTTAGCACCTGAAATAATTAGCAGGTCTTGAGATTAATCGTACTCGAGCACAAAAACACGTAAAGTTGATATATTAAATTATAAAAATTGTCCGAAACAATCCATGCAAATAATAATGTTCCCAAAAAAAAACATTACATAAGAAATTCTCCCTTGTAATAAATTCCAAAGTAAATCAACTATCAATTTTCGTTGAGGAGAATTAGCTTTTTTGATAAAACGCAAATAAAAAACTTAATTTATGATAAATATCAATTATTTCCTTTTTCAAATATTGACTAAATCTTAAATTATGTAACAAACCCAGCTGACGCATCATGTTGCCGAGAATTACCTGAAATTCGTCACTGCATGTAAATCCTAATTCATAACTGAACAATAGTTATATGCTATTAAAGAATAATACGTCATTATTCGTACACATTACCGTATTCGATATCGTACATTATCGATAGAATCCACCATCGCAGCAACCCAACCGATGCCTGTTTACAAACAGACGAAAAAAGCCACCTCCGTTTCGGATATCAGTTGACGTGCGTAGCGGGCCGCTCACATCGGCACAGTTAGCCATTACACGCTGTTCACACGATTCTGAAAGTCGACATGATAAACTGATAGTGATGTCGGGCGCGACCTTTATATCGATATTGAACCTCATCGCCCTCGTCGCCGCCTCGTACATAGACGACGGGGCGTTCATGAAGCCGAAGATGGAGAAGACCAACATAGTCAACAAGGGCGTGTGGATAAAGAGGACTGACGACGACCAGCCCATCAAGACGGCATCGGGCGACTTCATATTCAGGTCGAGCTCGCTGGACGCAGACAGCCTACTGCACAACAACTTCGACCCGTTCGGCGACAACTTCGCACGCGACTCGATGATGGCCCCCAATTACGTTGAGCGGAGCAAACGGTCAGCGAATGGTAAAGCACTAGTTATCTATAAACTTTTACCGTCTCGCGTATATAAGGCCTGTGCCGGCGACACCGACTATTGTAAGTGCTGACGGTACGCTAATTTCTTTTATAGTAATGTATTCAATTCCCAAATAAATGAGCATTTACACGAGGAAAAGTACAATTACAGAAACTTCGGATGCTCAACTTTTATACATTTATATATACGACGAGGTGACTTCGATGCATATTAGAAGTATTAAAAAAATAATTTTTATTGTCTATTATATAATACTCTATTTCTGTTACAGGTAGACGAATTCGACATGAAACTAAAGAAAATAGGAACTTAACAAATGTTTCGATTAGAAACAGAAACGGTGAGAAATCAAATCTCATAAAGTCAAAATTACTAACCAAAATCAAACCTGAAAACGTATTCAATGATTATCCGTATGAAGTTGCTATAATGCTCTCAAATAGTAATAAAGGAGATCTCAAACGTTCGAAAGGTGTTTCTGTAAAAGGTGCCTACGATATCAAACCTTCAAACTACACTCAAAATATACAGAACCCTATCCTTGACATGGATCATTTGGTAAAGACCGAAGCGTACGCCTTAATAAATAGAAGTAGTACTATTGCTTATCGGAATGCAACAAGCGTGATTCCTAAACGCAGCATGCAAAATGACTATGAATCGGAAATCATCAAGAAGATCGAACTAACTGAGGAGGGGAACAAAACGGAGGAGAGCTACGAGACAAATAAAATGGATCGAAACGTGTTTGAAAACGAAGATCGTGCCTGGCACCAGACCGCACCAATGACTGACGTGAATAATTACAAAATATTACCTAAGAATGAGGATAACAAGAATAAGAACAGGCCAATTACCGAAAAGGGCTTAGTTAAAGTACTGTCAATGCTAACGAAGACGTTTAAAAAGGTCATGAAACAACATAATGATATTAAAAAAATACATACCAAATTATCTTCCATAAACGAGGAGTTTATGAAAAACGCCCAATTGCTGATGACAAAGTTCCAAGACTTCGACGTGAAGTACTTATATTTGATGAAGTTTAATGAGCACCTTAAAGAATTGGAGGCTAAGCTACGCGGCAAGGAGGAATTCTACAAAAGCAAAGAAGCCGAGCTTACGAAGAACCTAGCGGAATTCGAAAAGCAGCAAAAGAAGTTTTTGGTGCAACAACAGCAATTTTACAACATACAAAAGCTGATGCTGGCGCAAAACGAGAAAATCAACCTGAAACAAAACTTGATCGCAAAGACGCAGAACGAAATATCGCTGAGGCAAAACAATTTTGCGCGAATATTGAAGAAGGCGAAGCAAATATACATCGACACTAAAAATCCGATACCGCAAAAGCTAAGCGCTATATTGTCAAAACCCAAAGAAAGCGGCGAAAGGCGTAACAACGATATAGAAAAGACAACAACCACTAGGACGACGGACACGCCAAATACCGAATCGATCAAAATTAATCTATTCTCCGTTCCAACAATGACTCATATCGAAAATTATGATAATGAGATATTGAAAGAAAGAGACGACCATTCCGTGGACGATTTAATTTACAAATACTATTTCAACAACACATACATAGATGTGTTAATGAAAAATAAAGTCTTATCGAGCTTCGTCGCCCCTCCGGGGAATCCCCTTACGCGAAATACGAAAAGCAAACGTAACGAAGATCCTATGTTCATCGAGAAAAGCACCAACTTAATACCGGTGAACGAAATCAAATTGAAGTCGAATCAAAGAGGAAAATCGGGACTCCAACTGATTAGAGGAAAACGTTGGATTAAGTACTCCAAGAAAAATAACAGAAGAAAACACATCGGCAAAGATTTAAACATAAACTTCAAAAAGCAAGAGGTGAAACCGAACCCGAATAAAAGCAATGTATCCTTAGAAGGTCAGGCCTTAAAGAAAACGACTCGAGTTAAAAGCAAGAATACGGGAAAAGATCCATTTTGGGATATGGCAACAAGCTTTTGCAAGGGGATTGGTCAGGACGAGAACGACCAAATGCTACATTGGTGTATCGAAAAGGCCTTAAGGAGGCTGCGTTCCATCGGTGAGAGTGCGAAAGTAAATTCGTTCATTTTAAAACACGAGCTCTATCATACTTTCTGTTTGCTCAATTGTGCATTTTTTATGTGAGAAGATAGCATGCGAGCTGTCGGTCAACCTGACGGCGATAACCGCCGCCCATAGACATTTGCAACACCCGTAGGGTTACGGATGCGTTGCCGCATTTTAATTAAGTCACACTCACCAGACGAAACGCAGAAGTATAACACTTTCACTTCACGCCGCTCTTCTGTGAGGTCGTGGTACTTACCCGGACGGACCTGCCCATTCGTGCAACAGCCGAAACGGTTGCGTGGCCCTACCACAGTTATATAGTTAACTAGATTCCCTTTTAGTAAGTACAATGTTTTGCAATCCACATGACCTAGTCAATTTTATCGATATTTACATATGTATGTGTAGTCTGGGAATGGGAACCGGTCACCTAAGACCGATTGACCACCATCCATCTCTAAATAGCCAGAAGATCTCTTCCAGACAACCTTATGGCTAAACGTAGGTATGTATATAACTTTTGACAATGTAAAAATATTTGATTACAGATATGAAACTAACTCGTCCAACAGTAACGGCAGAGCCTACAGAAAATCCTGAAATTGTGAAAGGTGTAGTAACACTCGAACAAACAGTCCCGCAGGAGCGTTTTAAAACCACAAAAATGGCAACTGAATCAGACGGTAATTAAATCTTTATAAATTTTCTCTCAGAGGTGTTTTTGTCAGAAAGTCAGAAAGAAACTTTGTTAAGTTTTTTAAAGATATTTTGTTTTTTTTTAGATATTTATTTAAATATATATTTATTTACAAAAGAAAAGTATGTTTAACTTTGTTTATCAGTTATTTATAGTACCCATAGTACAAACGTTGCTTAGTTTGGGACTAGATGACGTTGTGTAAAAATGGGTCCAAAATATTTATTTATTGAAGTTATACTTCTTTTGGCGCGTTAGGGAAAAATTATGAAAGTAAATTTTTTAGCTGCGCGCGCACACCGTCATGAAAAACCGACACACTACGTCTACGCTAGACATCTTACGTAGATGATGTTTGCGTGAGAACTGACAACTGTATTCACGATATTTATTTTGTGAAGAAATAAACTTTATTCAACTAGATAATTCGTTATAATAATAATTTCAATGTATTTAATACTTCTATTGTTAGTGTCGTTTTTTCTACAAACGTAGAATAAGGCGAAAGATTTTTATCTTGTTACACCAAATAAGTATGACTTGCAACGCATCTCCATAATTAAACACACATTTTTCTTTTGCTTTACAGAGATTTTCACAACCGTCATGTCCCCGTCTACCAGCAACCCAGACACCGTTAGTTCGCCGGCGTCTACCGGGGAAGCGGAAACAACAGATTCCGCCTTATTCTTCCCAGGTGAAAATATCACGTTGTTTACGTTTCACACAACATATGTCATAAAGTCAGTTCGTAAAATTTGTTTTATTTCCAATCGCTTATGATTTTCCCCACTTTACGATTATGGATTAGTTAAAATGAGATACCTGTTTCGGCCGGTGCCTCTTGAATGAATAGAACATTACCCTCTAGAGTGAATTAGTAGGAATTCTGTATAACACTGACGTCCCCAAACGGAGGCGGAAAGGGATAACAAAAAGTGAAGATGAAACAAGCAAGACAAAAGCCTGCAGACTAAAAATTGTTAGAACTGAAAATCATAAAACAATATTACAGCTAATTTTTAATATTCAACAGAAAAAAGGAAAGAAATAATTTTTAATATTATTTGATAATTTACCAAGATTTCTTCGTTTAAAATTAAAATATCCATCAATCAATCAAATATATAAATTTTTGGTGAAGGGGAGCATTACTAACTTGTTTCTACGTTTAATAATTTATAATTTTTTTTTTAATTTTCAGACAATGACCAGCTAGAATCGAATTTGAAACAATATGGTAATAACAAACGTTCATTCAATATTTTTGCACGAATTACTTACAATCCCACGACTCACACCGGATTCTTCTTCTTGAAATAAAAAACATAATTATGAAGGAAATCATGAAATGTAATCAATATATCACCAAATCGCGTTCCGTCTCGAAGAGGAAACAAATAAAAATCCATTATTTACTCGTATATTAGGAAATTCTAACATCCGGTTTAAATATTCTATCTACAGATACATTTTGTTACTTGGGATAGGTATTTGACAAATAAAAACACATTATTGACATTAGTTCCATAATACTTACGTCAAAATTCTATCTCTAGTAACCAAATCTATCTGTAGATCGAATATTGAAACCTGTCGTAAACCTTTGTAGTGGTATTTGTAATAGATAGCTTAACGGGTTTTGTTTAAAACCTTCAAATGCTATTAATATTAGAGAAATTCCTATTTCAGATGTGAAACCAGATACGGAAGGGACGGTGTATTACGATGGCAGCGTACATGCTAGTCAATTTGGTGAGTAGTCATATTTTCTAGGTAATAGTTTCTGTCGTTATGAAACAAAAGGTTGTTAAAAATATGGTATTTTAACAAAGAGGTCGGCAGTATTATTAATTCTTCGCCGATTCTGTAGTTCTTAGAAGTAAAAAAATTCTAAGGATATAAATATACTAGATCATAAAAGTACATTTTAATTAATTTCAATGGTTCCAGAACACCTGAACTTAGTCGCCAGTATTCCATGTTATTACCTGCGTATTATGTAAGTGGATGCTTTGAAAAGATGTTTAATTACGAACTTGTGCCATTCAGTTCATGTCACCGCAACGCTACTTAGATCATCTGTCATAGATGCTAAGGCCTATTATTATGTTCATGTTTCACCCTGTATCTCGGAAGACGGCCCCGAGAGCGATGGCATATCGGATCTACTCCCCGGCATGGAAAGCGATTCGCGGGTGGACGTTGACCCCCTGGCCTTGGACCTCCAGCAACGGAGGCGAGCGTACGTGCGAAGGTACTTGAAGAATTTAACACAATTATTATTCGGCAGAGGACCAAAGTTGTCGATGGAGTCCGTAAGTGTAGCAAGCTGAAGTGGCAGTGGGCTGGCCACATGTCGTAGAACCGATGAGCGTTGGAGCAGGCGGTTCTCGAATGGAGACCACGTCTCGGAAAACGTAGTGTCGGATGTCCCCCTGCCAGGTGGACCGATGACCTGAGAAAGGTCGCTGGTAGGGGCTGGATGAGGAAAGCGGAAGATCGTGCTCTATGGCGTGCCCTTGCGGAAGCCTATGTCCAGCAGTGGACTGCAAAATGCTGATTGGATAGATGATCTGCAATGATTTAGAGCCTCAGCAAAATCTTCGCTCATTGCGGCGTGTAGACCACGCTGAAAAGAAGACCACGAACACAGACCAAAAGCGAATTCAAAATATTAACCGTAATCTGGTATTATGTAAATTAATTGTATTATATTAACATAACTTTATTTTTTTTCTCTCTTTTCAGAATAAACGAAGACATCATGCGTCAAATGAAATCCGGTTAATACTATTAGCCAACGTTAAGTTTAAAATAAATAATAATTTTTGAACAACTGTTAGATACGAATTTAAAATATAATGTCTGTTTTTTATATCAATAAACGTAATTTTGTTTGATTAAGCTTTATTTTAGTGGCATATTTTCGATAAACATTTTAAAGTACCTAACATAAAACAAAACTTTACACGAAAGTTGCAGAATAATTTTTGTCGGCAGAAATTATCTTCACAATCTCGTATTTGACCTGTAATGTAACTAACTTATTCTGCTTACTTTGTAAAGGCTTAAGATGCTGAAGCTATAACAGAAGCTGACTTTATAACAGATTTTATTTTTTTGTCTTTCAACCAATGAACAATAAACATTTCCTTCTACTGCTATATTTTGCATTATAATATTACGTCTTTGCTACCATCTCACTTAATGGTAATGGATAAATGCAAATAATGATCAAATCAAAGCATATATAGGCTTCCATTTATAGAAACGATATCATCTGAACGATAAAATTGCTCTGCTTTTTATCAGCCTAGTGTTCACATCATCGTTTCTACATCGAACACCGATTGACCTGGTGTTAAATTATTACCACTGCTCATGGAATTCCATTCAACGCATTTGGGTCCAATTACTTCACTCTTCGCGATGGTCTTCTGCGAGGCAATGGTTCAGATTGTAATTTAGAATGTGCCCGTATTCTAGGTATCTCATCTAAGGACTCGAGTATTCATTCTAATCTTTGTTAACCAACAAGTAACTTTAATTGATACCGTGAGCTTACTTAATTCCGTCCGAATCCATTTGATACCGCCGATTTGTCAATGCCCTTGTGCTTTAATTGTAGTTCGTGGTCACGCCCCGTCTCAGTGCGAGACGGGGCACGACCCGAACTAATCTCACTCACCTCTGATGAGTCTGAAACTCCGCCGTCTTATTATTACGAGAATAACGTTCATATATTCATTATAAAATGTTAATTGAGGTAGTCGGCGTACTTTAAGGTACCTTAATGGCGCAATACGTTCATCATTCATCATCAGCCGGAAAATGTCGACTGTTGAACAAAGGTACCTAAATAGTTGTCGAGTAGTTCGTGCCGTGAGGATATCGGATAGATCAGTTGGATAGACGGTCTACCGCGTTACACAGAAGACCAGCGTCGGTCAGGGGAAGAGCAACAGGGACGGTCGCTATAAGAACCAGATAGATAGATCTAGAAAACGAGGGATAATTTTAGTTTACTACAAGAAACAGATTTTATTATATAGTGACTGAATGAAAAGAGCAACAAATACTAACTTAATTATATTAAAAAGAGCGTTGTTAATGTTGAAGAAGCAGGAGTGTAATAATTAAAGCTACTTATTTTCATTTGCATTTAGAACCAAGTATATTGTAGGTAGGGCCACGCAGCAACCTCGGCTGTTGCACGAATGGGCAGGCCCGTCCGGGTAAGTACAACGACCTCACAGAAGTTCGGCTTAAAGTGTGACAAATACTTTCGCGTTTCGTCTGGTGAGTGAGGTAGCCGGAGCCCATAAAAAAAAAATTAAAAAAAAATTGTATCAATGGATGTTACGGTTATATTTATGTAATATTTTATATAAATTCATATTAATTTTTCCCTACTTCTCTGTCTCTTTCGCGCCTCCTTATTTTCCCTATTAATTTGTCGGTTGACTGAGTGTAGAGAACACCTAATAGTGTTAAGTCCGCCATTGTACGCTATTGTGCAAAAAGTTTTTCAATAAATAAAATATGTAACATATCCTATTGTTTTATTATTCAATTAAAATATCGACGTAGATAACAGATTTTATTGTTGAGAGTCTAATTGATATTAACACAAAATTTCAACTTAATCATGTTGCAGTAGAAACTTTCTCAATATTAAAGCAGAAGTACAATAGCTACAGCTACGGTACTTTATTCACTTTAAATTCAAAGTGCTGATATTTGCAATAAATCGATTTGTAAAATATGTTTAATTTTATTTATTTAACATAAAGCCAAAGCGCAATTTATGCAAAGTGAAAGTGAAAGCACCGTATAGGGCGCTGAAAGACAATTTCGCTCTACCTTTAACAAAGGCTACATCCGGCACTCTAGAAGATGATATGGATGATAGCAAAAAAGTTCCCGTGGCCCTGTCGATACGCGCCCTAGGTTTAATACCGTCAGAATTTTAGTTTTAGATAAATGTATAAAAAAGTAAAGTAAAGTAACAGCCTGTACATGTCCCACTGCTGGGCAAAGGCCTCCTCAATACAGAGGGTATCAGGGCATAGTCCACCACGCGGCCCCACTGCGGATTGGCGGACTTCACATATCTTCGAAATATATATATTTTTTTGTTATTATTTCGAAAATATGCAGGTTTCCTCGCTATGTATTCGTTCACCACGGAGCACGTGATAAGTCAGCACTTAAAGTTAAAAACTTCATTGGTGCCGGCACCGGGGATCGAACGCAGGTTGCTCGAGTATATTGAATTAAAGGCGAGGGCCCGGACACTGAGTTATGACGGCTCAGATAAATGTATACCCGTCCTTTACTTTCAATGGCTTGGTATATGTTGTGATTACCCCCACGTAAACAAAATAGAGGCGCGTTAATAACCGGCGAGTGCCTAGGGCTACCTCACATAGACCAAGCCTTACTTTACGGCGGGCTTTAGCACGGCTATGGTACTCTATGTTCTAGCCGTCTAGCTGACCGGTTCGTGCAGTGGTGCTATTATTGGTATAATAGCCACAGTGAATTTTGAATTGATTTTCAAAATTCTACCACTGTGGCACGTGTTGATACGTGAGTGTAATGCTCACGTCTTGATAGTCAAAATTCTATGTCATGCTGTTGAATGAAGATATTTGAATTTGAACAGACAAAACGAATTGACAAATGTAACAGTAATCCCAAAATGTTTACAAGCGAGCAGGCGGTAATCACTAAACATCAGGCGGTTCATCTGATGTTAAGTGATTACCTTGGACATCAACGGGTTGAAGATCCGTTAGAAAAGTGTGCCCCAGTCACCTCACCCATAAGTTGAAACGCGAAAATATGATACTTCGTGCTAATTCTTCCGAGACGCCGCGGTACTTCCCATCATAGAAGGCAGACCCCACCATCAGATGGGAATAATCACTGCATAGGAGGGAGAGAGAAAGAGAGAGAGAATAACGTTATTTTACAAGTCCGTGTCTTTGACATCGGTTGTCCAGTTTTATCGTTTATATTAAGTCAGTTATATCGATCTTATAATTCGATTCATAATTGTCAAACATTGCCCCACAAAATTCGCACGACCAAACAACTGAAATATAAAGGGCAGTAAACTGTATAAACAGATTTACGGGTAACAATGTGTTGGTCGCGTGTAAACATATGAAATCAGGTACCTCAATCTGAATGTTCTACAGAAAAAAGACAAAAAATCTTCACCGGTTCAACACGTGAACAACTTTTTTATCCTTTTAATAGAAAATATCCGTTGACGTTAATAGGCTTCGTGAGGCATATTTACAAACAAACGCTATAGTCGCAAGATAAAAAATGGCTTTCAAAATTTAGTTTGATACAAGATTTTTCAGAGGAGTGCTGCCTTATAGGCTCCTATAAGCCTGCATATGGTGAGTTCCGTTTTTTTATGGGAAAGCAACATACTATCTTAGAGGAAGGACATTTACAATCGCTTCTTATTGTATAAATACGTTTAGATACATTTTTTTATTTATAAACATTCTAATAAAGCTAGTTTACTGATTTATCGCGTGCATTCTTAATTTAACTTTTGACCTTTTGAATACTTGTTCTTGATTATTGTCAATTGGAAATTGGAAAACTTTCTTTAGATTACTTTAGCAAAGACGATTTGATTCGATGTTACTTGTACTGTAGCTCAATGGGCGTGTTATAAAAGTTGGTTGTAATTTGTTGCAGACTTTTTAGAGGGGGTACAAACGAACAGCCCTTATATGTCACGATGCGACTACGACGGGGTCTTCTACAGGGTGTTCTGTGTCACTCTGCTGGCCACCGCGTTCACCTTCACCGTGATATTGACCAACGTCTTCATCGATATCGACGGGTTGCTGTCGAGGAGAGGTATTTTTTTTTATGTGAAATGTTACCAAGTGAACAGGTGGTCCATCTGATGTTAAGTGAATACGGCACCGTACTGTACCCATGGATATCTGCTACACCCGAGGGTTTGCAGGTGCGTTGACAACCTTTTGAAAATTGGGCTAGGTAAGCGGCACAGCTAACACTCGCATTGATACAGGAGAAGTAAGCTGATGCAGTTGTGTCGAATTTCTCATTGGATCATCATCATCATCATGACGTGATAATTGATGACGATTGTGTGATGAACATAGTGTTTTTATAGTGTCTGGGTGTCTATATGTATAATATGTATTTATTTACAAAAGAAAAGTAAGTTTAGGAATAGAGAACGTTGTGTAAAAATGTGTCCTAAATATAAATATATCATAATAGTTTCAGTCTGCTTGAGTCCACCGCTGAACATAGGCCTCCCCTAAAATCACCACGAAGCGCGGTACTCCACCCTGCATCCACCTACTTCCCCCACACTTGCACAGGTCGTCACTCCATCTAGTGGGGGTCTCTCATCTCTCATCTCTCATCTCTCATCTCTCATCTTGTCATCGAATAGCAGATCAAAAACTAGGTTCTCTGGTATTAGATTTTCTTTGACAAAGAAACCGTTTACAGCCCAAACATTTTGCTTACAAGTCAATTATACTTAGTTAAGTTATACTTACATTCTAACGTTGTATATTGGTATACAACGTTAGAATGGGGAGCATAGCTAGATAGATTTTCTAATTGATTAATTTGTGATTTTTCTAAAATATGTTATAGGGAAAAATACAACATTGTCTGGAGAAGTCTGTCAGTAATAAGTGGTATTTCATGTGTTCGTTTTGTCATTAACATAAGAGCTTCGAATAGAGAATTATTTTTTTTTGACGTTCAATAAGAGCTTAAGTTAAATCTATATTTAATAAAGATATTTTTACTTTAACTTTAACGGAAATAAATAACGAGACAGTTTTTGTAACCTTAAGAATTTAAAAACTATGTAATATCCGTACTGGACTTGTACCCAGTAACTCAGATGCACGATTAAGATCGTCACAGCTATGAATCAAAATCCCTGTAGAATGCTTTGGTGCACATTTCCATTTGAAAAACTATCCATCTCGAGTTCCCGGTGTTTTACGACAAAGTTAACTTCAAATTTTTGTATTTCAATTATCAATGGAATATCGATGATATAGTCTATCTCTGTTGACCTCATAACCATCAGAACGTTATACGTTCTAGCCTATTTTAATTTCAACGAAACTTCAGTTGCAGGAAGTGACGAATTGTTTAAGTGTGTTTTGTGTTGTTATTTAGAATTTGATTTTTAAAATAGACCTTCTGTTTCATCCATGGTAATTGTGAAGTTATCGGAAGTGATCAATAGATATTATGATTAAAACTATAATAGCAAACAATACTAATCTTCCTGTTTAATAATTAAATTGACGAAGAATTCAAATGAGGCAATCGTTATCACGGAAGCCCTAAGCAATACTGATGATCTATAACACATTCCAGCGAAACAAAGCCACGGGATCGAGCAAAATGGAAATTATGAAACAACAACAGATACTCCATACGAAATGACTGAGGAAAACATGGACAAGAATGATATAGACGATAAAGCGGAAACTGCCTTTAGAACAAAAAGATCCTTAGGTAATGCAATTTGTTCTAGCTTTCATACCCAGGTTCTCTCACGGTACTCAAACGTAAGAGGACCCAAGTCAATTACTATTGATTAGTAAAACATTGCACTTCCTTTAGGATAACATTATCCAGTGTTGTAAGGACGTTTTAAAAACATATTTCGGGCGGACAAACACTCAGCTGTGAAACAACTATCTGTGGGTCACACAAATAGTTGTCCCGTGTTGGAATCGAACCCACGACCCCCGACACCAAAGCCAATACCTTCATTATCATTATTTTCATCAATTTACCATCCAATATTAAATAAATAATTCAGTTATATACAGTTACCGACCAATATATTGACAGTGAACACGGTGAACTCTGTAGTGGTCACACAGCCAATATCGAAACTTAGTTTTAACTAAAAACTAACTTATAAGAAGAAAATTTATTTTAATTACTAAGATAAATTCAGAACTGGTTTAAAATATTTAGAAATTATCAATAACATACAAATAAATTTTCACTATTAGTTATATAAAAAGCAAAGTAAATGTATAATACAAGTTAAATTATGATAAAAAAATGATAATGTATGAAAACCTGTGATTTAAAAAAATCAAAAACCTCTCTCATTATTTGACTATAACTTTACAATGTTTTATTAACGACTAGCTGCTGGCCGCGACTACCTGCGCATGAAGGCGCTTCAGACAGACATAAAAATATATATAAAATTATCCTTTTGTAAATTTTGATATCGTTCCGATTCAGTATAAGGATTTTTGTTCCAATGCGCACGTGATTGAACCGTGACAAATCGTTTTACAGAAACTACAAATTTTCTTTCACATCTTAAAACGCACAAAATCAAGAAAATCTTCAACACGCGATTGGCTAAGCTTCTTGAGCGTTTAGACAAACAAGAGAGCGACGATGAAGATATATTTAATGCAGCGAAAACCACAAATGGTTTTGATAGTAACAAAAAATCTTTAGAGGAGGAAACAGTGGATAAACAAAATAAGGAACATGTTAATGATTACAATGGAAGCAAGACAAAGAAAAATCCACTTCCTCCAAACGTACAAAACATACTTCAAGGTATAATAAGACATATATACGAAAAGAACGATTATGTACAATCCGATAAGCTGATAAATAATTTAAACAATGTAAATCTAAAAGGTAAGGCTTAAATGTGTTTCTGTCAAAGGCTTAGTGCTTTTTTCGATATCCAAAAAAGCTAAATTTTTGCTATTCGTTGAGGCAAATTTAATAACATTAAGAGATAACTGGAAATAATATTAAGAAGTGAATATTGAAATTTAATTATATTTATTACATTTCATTTCATCATATTCTTTTAAAATTTTCAATATTCTTTGATAATTTTTATAAAACACTTACGCCCGGTTTCTGAAACACTGATCATCGTAGAAATTAACAAGCCATTTGATAGCTGATCAGTTAATTTCTACCATGATCAGTTTTTAAGAAATTGGGCGTTAATTTACCAAAACAAAGAATCGGGAACTACCCTATAATAAAATAGGTTTTTGCAAATTTGAAAATGTCCGTAAAGTTACAAGTCAAATCTACTAATGATATTTCATTGCAGGTAATAAAACAGAAGAACAACAAATCCACTTACATCGAAAAACCCTAAAGGACGCTGATGAGCATTTAAAAAAAATAAAAAACATCGCGGAACTAAAAGAAAATGCCACAGGGAGTTTAAGCAAATCCAAAACAACCACTAACTCTATGTCAAGTTCACTGTTCCGAAAAGGTACTGAAAGTTATCCTTTTCTCAGTTAACCAATATTTATGACCAATATTAAATCTTTGATTTGTTTTAATTATTGTTTGTGAAAGTATGATTAGATATTATTTAATGTGAAAAGTTACCGAGCATGCCGGCGGTTCACTCGATGTTAAGAGATTTCCACCGTGAATATCTACAACACCTGATGGCTTGCAGATGCGTTGCTAACCCTTTAAAAACTGGACCCCAGTCACCTCACATACGAGATGAAGCGTGATAATAATAATTATTGTGATAATAAGTACATCACGTGGGTCTTCGAAAAGTATGATAAAATTCGAAACAAGATAATTCCAATCGATACAGTCCGTGGCCGCAGTTGCCCAGGTTTTGGTTCGGAGGTCGTTGGCTCGATTCCAACACGAGACAACTATCTGTGACCCGCAGATAGCTGTTTCGCATCTGGGTGTTTGTCAACGTGAAATTTATGAGTGTAAATTATGTTGATCTTACAAAATCAAAAATATCTTTATTCAAATAAACGCTTGCGCGTTCTTATGAATTGTCAAATTTTACATAAAAATTGTTTATTATTCATTCATTCATCTCATAATAAATATGTTCTTTTCATTCATTCACTCTCTTCCGCCCAGGCATCGACTAAGAAGTCGATGCCTGGGCGGCAATCGAGTTGACTAAGTGCTCTATACAAATATTTAAATAATAAGTGATTAAAGTGCAATAAACGTGCTAAATTGTAAAACCAGTGACTGGATATCCATTCCGAACCCCTCACATATACAATCAATTAGTTCAAACATTAACAAAAATTATATTATAAGTTCGTAAGGTACCACATAGGATAGTGTTATCTTAAAGTAAGGGCAATATTTATATAATATAAAGAAAAAAAAAATTCTGTGAAGCCATAGCAGTTCCCCGGATGAGCCAGCCCATTCTTGCAACACTACGACGAACTGCCGCGTAGCTCTACCACAGACAGAAATATTTCTTGATTCCTATACTTTATTTGCATATTTTTATAAGTGCACTTTGAAATATTTATAATAGCATATTGTCCAAAATTTTCAGAGGAAAAATTTATCAAAACAAAACTTGGAAAAAGAAATTCAAATTTACATAATAAGGCAGAAAAACTCGGAATCGGGTGAGCATAATTACGATGTTAACTATTTGATATTTTTTTGTGTGAGAAGGTGGCAAACGAGTTGGAGGTTCACTTGATGTTAAGTAATTGCAGGGTTGCAGAAGCGTTGCCATCATTTAATAAAGTCGGCCCCGGGTACCTCACTCACTAGACGAAACGCAGAAGTAACACTTCAACTTCATGCCGATCTTCTGTGAGGTTTTGGTACTTACCCGGACGGACCTGCACATTCGTGCAACGGAAAAGACTGCTGCGTGACAAGTTGAAATGGAATGTGTATGTACAATCTATACATTTTAATTACAAAATTTCTGTTTTAGTATTCTACCAGAAAAAATAAAGAGGACACACGAATATAAGTATCAAAATGATCCAATTGATTTAAACTTCCTAGAAAAAGATATACAATCATATAAAGATGACAAATTGAATAATTTTACCATTGGTGAAAATAAAGTTAATTTAATATTAAAGTTAAAAGAATGGGATGAACAATATAGGAATAAACAACTTCCTAGAGTAATTGACGATTATAAACAGAACAATGGTTCTTATCAGTCTTCGCAATCTTTGAGGAACAACTCCATTCATCAGTTTGAATTATCTAAGGGCACTACTCAAAGGAATCAAACAAACCGTTTAAAAAGGCACATCAAAGTAAGATATGATGACCACGAAGCTTCAACAAAAAGATTAAAACCAGTACGAAACGGAATGAAAAAAACGGACGACGATTTGTACGTCGAAATAGAGACACACTTTAACGGCAAAGGAGTTAAAGGGGAGAGAAAGAAGAAGCTTGTTAGAAATCTCATCGACAGAATTCAGAAAGCAATACGATCGGATGTGGATCCGCAAGATGAAGCGAATCAAGTAAATAAAATAAATCAACATTCACAAATAAAAAAAAGAATACAAAATCCCCTCAAGCATAAATATGAGCAGACTTTAAGTAACTACAATTCGGTAGAGCATAGAAAAATGAACCCTATTAACGTAATATTACCATTAAAGGACTTATCACGAGACCTAGAAAACTTAGAAGAACAATATAGTGCTTACGACAATCCAAACATCCCAGCAATGTCAAACTTAGACAAATCTTTCGAAATAACAAATAGTGATGTGGACATTAACAATGTTTTAAGCAGTGGCATACCGCAAAGATTTCAAATGCCTTTGAATCCAGAGGATATCAAAACTGGTGTTAAAAGCCAAAACACGTACGCAGATACAGGAAACGTAACTCTCTTTATAAAGGACATTGATGGCAGTGGGTTTTCCGTAGGTTTTAATCAATACATGGACGAACCGCCGGATGTCGAGAGCATGAAAATCTTTTCCGGGCTGGAAAACGTGATACAGAGCTATCATGATAATTATGATCAAAACGCCGGTGGTAACTATATTGATAATTCTGTTGAAAGACAACACGAGCTAAAAAAGCGCAATGTGCATTATAATCAAAATGAACATGTTTTATTACGTCGCTCAGTCCACGAAGTTAACAATGAAGATTACCATTCCAATGCCTACAAGATCGTATTCGACAAAAAAGTTTTGCCATATAAAAATTATCAAGATATACTAGAAACGCCAAGTAAAAGACCTGTATCATCAAATTATGAGTACAAATTAAGGAACTACAACTACAATCCTAAAAACATTAAAATTATCACAAAAGACATCAAAATCAAAGCATTGCCATTGGTTTTGGATGATGATATTTTTGAAAAGAAGTTAAAGCCATCTGAAATTTTCAGTTTAGCAAGTCTGTTACTCAACAACCATAATAATATAAAAAAAAGATCAATCAATGTTCAAAGAATTACAAATTTAAAATCTAGAATAAAATTAAATAGATATCTTAACACGAAAGCAATGCAGTCGAAAACAGTATTTTTAAAAAATAAAAGAAATAAACGCCAAATCGATAAAATAAGAATCATTGCTTCAGACCATTTACACCACAGGCCTAAAACTTCTGACGAAAATATTTTTGTGGTATCTGGAGAAAATTTGTTTACAAACAGAGCTATGTTACGAGAGATAGAGCTGCCCGAAAGTGATACTGGGGATGAGAGGGGTGGGGAGCACAGTGAAGACACAATACCCTACACTTTTGAAGAGGCTAACCCTGAAGAAAGCTACGCAACTAATACTTTCGACACTAAATATAGGCACAATGCCCTAATGTCAAAATACCCCCACATATTTACTGACAGTAACACAAATTCGAAAGAAGGGCAGATAGGAAACGAAAATGATTATTATGTGAGTGAAAGCAATAAACATTCTCTAGGTCTAGAGAATTTACTAGGTATGCGGAGAACATCAGAAAACATGGCATCTTCTGAAAAAGATGTACCTGAAATTGTAGACGCCATAATGCCATCCCCATCCAAAACTGGTTACAAAGTTACTGTCAAAATACTGCCTAAAAACCTGACCAATACACCATCTGGTTTTAAGGAAATGCACACAGTTATAAATAAAACATATAACAATAATGGTGTTCAATACTACTCACTTGTCAATGTTTCCGAGATATCCAAAATAGAAAAAATTAATAAAACAAAGGATAATTTTAATCAACCAGCTGTAAAAGAGGATACGACTGGTAATATTCAAGAAAGAGAAGACAAAATGAAATTATTCATAGCACTTCAAAAAGAAAAAATAGAACAACAGTTACAACATTTAAATAACGAAAAAAATAACCTTGAGTCAATACTACGTGAAAGAGATGGTATCAAGGAGAGAAATTTAAGTGATTTATTAAAAGAAATTATACATGTAGAATCACAAAAAAAGAATGACGCATTTCATTTCGTACATGACCCATCTATAAGCCATTTACGAAGTCAACATTTGACAGGAATAGAACAAACCACTCCAGCTACTTCCATTGCAACCACAACAAATGTTGAACCTGTTAGTACTCCGAAACTGGAACCAAAGACAGACGTAGTTAAAACTAAAATTGAAACGTCAATTAAAGAAAATGAAAATTTCACAAACGAAATACTATCCAGAATAAACAAGAACACCGATATACTTCAATCCTTCCTTAAGCAATTAATAGAAAAATTAGAGCCAATACCGCGGCAACAAACAACAACCCAACACGCTAAGGTAGAACACGTTACTGAGGAGTCTAATCATATGAGAGCCCACGCTGATTTGCCTAACGATTGGGGTTTAAATCTAAATCATATGCACGATACATTCTTCGGTGACAACAATCCTCATAAAAATGATTCCCATTATGCCATTCCCTTTGTGTACGCCTATCAACACCCATACATACCAAACAAATCACCGCTACCGATGGCGAAGGTTGTGTACCACGGTCACATACACACAAGCGCAATCCACAAACATGCAAACGACAATTGGAAATACAACGCAAATAATCCTAAGCTAGTCCACAACGCTGGTGATGCAAAACACGATAATGCCACAAGATTTTTTATGGATACTATTGCGAGGAACGCACCCCATATACCGCCCAAAATTACAGAAAACTTGGACTTCAATCATAATTGTTCAGGCACAATTAAAATTCACTAGTTGTTTTTAAGTTTGTAATGGTAATGTAAAACTAATTTAAGGAAAATCTAAAATATTTATGTAATTTAAAATTAAACGAATTGCGACAAAATCGATATTAGTAATAAAATATTTTTTTACATTAATTAATTCCTTTTTTTATAGACTTTTTCGGCTCTTGGTAATGAAGGAACCGATTATGATTATTTTTTTTATTAGGAATATTATGAATAAAAAAAACCAGATCCTACAAGTAGTATACATTATTTAAAACATCAATATTTACATAAATTTTACAATGCTAAACTTATTCTAGTGCCCTTAGTAATAAATCAATGGGCTCTTACTTATGGTTACTTCTCACTTTTTTATATTTTTTTTGATTTTCACTGTATGTGTTTGATTTTATTTAGGTGAAATTAAATATTTTAGAAGTATGTATATTCAATTTCAAGGTAATCATCTTCAGTAGTGTCACCGACATCAGTGGTTGCATTTTTGAAATCATCTTCTATGTTTTCCGTTACAAATTGCGTCGTGTTTTCGTCGTCTGCAGTTGTCAGCGTAACGCTTAATTCCGTAGGATTTTCTGATGCGACGGCACTTTTTGATTCGGTAACATCAGTAAACTCTACATTATTTTCGGTGATCTTTGAAACTTCCGTAGTTATATTCGATTCTTCAGAGGCCTCTTCTGTGGTGTAAGTTGCAGGAACTACCGTTTGTTCGACGTCTTTTTCTTTTACTAGATCGTCAAATTCATCTTGTTCTATTTTATCTTCATTATCAATTCCGCCTTCAACTTTATTCAGATTTTCAGTTACTTCATTTACTACAGTAGCTCCAGTAACGTCGTCTCCGTTGGTATACAACTGCTCAGTAGTTGCAGCAACTTCCGTATTGGATATTATGGAATCTTCGGTAGTTTTTATATTGTCATCGATCGTGATAATTTCAGTGGGTTCTAAATCTTTTTCAACTAATGTCTTCTCTGATTCATCTTCAACTTTATCGTCCTCTTTGTCTTTATTATCAACTATGTCATTTTCGACACTGTCAGTGTGTTTGTCATCTTCGTTTGAGTTTTCAGTTACCATGTCTACTATATTAACGTTATCATTATTGGGAATAATACCTGTGGTACTTATTGTAAAATTGGGTGTTTTAAAGATGTTTTCAGTCGTAACAATAGTTTCATCTGGGGCTATGACATCTTTGATTGAACTATCTGCATTGTCTTTAGTAGCATCAACTACATTATTTTCAGCCAAATTATTATCTCCTTCCTCAGCTTGTTTATTTTCTTCCTCTTGCTTTTCAGTTATTTCGTCAATGAATTTGTCGATTGGTTGTTTAGTCGTAATTTCGGCAGGATTTTGAGTGAAAAGATCAGTCAAATTATCTTTTAGTTCAACAACTAACGGAGAATCATTATTATTGGGATAAAATACAAATATATTTGCGAAATGCTTGTTGCCCACAAAATTGCCAAATATCGATTTAGCTTCTATTTTATTTATGTACCCCGTTTCCTGTATGATATCAGGGCTTGTTTCGTTTAGAATAGGTTGCTCAGTAGAAATGTTATCTTTTTTATGTATTAAATCGTTAGCCGGCGTAGGCGTATTTTTTTCTTGTCTCGTTTTATTCAATTCTTGTCTTGTGTTATCGACAAGCTTATCAGTTGGTCGCTTTCCTAAAATTGTTACTAACTGTTTTGCGACTTCTTTTTTGACCAATTTTGGTATGAGCTGAAATTGAGTTTGATTTTAAAAACATGATCGATATATTAAAATGTTTTAAGATGATAATTTGAAGAATTTAAAGCCGCCGATGGATATCAACAACCCCAGATGACAACAGACAACTTCTAAAAACAGTAGGCCCCGGTCACCTCACTTATCTTAGGAAAAGCAAAAGTATAACAGTTTTACTTTACTTTGTTTTTTATGAGGTCTTGATTTCCTTACCCGCCCCTTTGTGCAACATTAGAAACAGTTGTACGGCCCTATCACAATTTAAAAAACCTTTTGGATCTGTTATTATATTTTTCGCTGCATTACAATAATACTACTTACTTTTAAATGGAGGCCGTGATAATGATCCTTCATTATGCCACGACCATGCGTTGGTTTCTTCACAACCCATCTCGGTTTTTCTATATTCCACATAAACGGCTTCAATATTTTTTTAATCATAGACAACATGCCATTCCCCCTTTCTTGGTTAAATTGCGCTCTTTGATTATTAATGTTCGTTCCTTGCAGGAGGTTATTATCAACCCTGCTTAAGGGTGGCTGAAATAATGAAAATGAAAGTTTTATATAAAATTATAAATAAAATTATGGTTTTATAGGTCAACGCACATAAGTCTTTTTTATGTAAAAAGGAGGCAAACGAGACACTTGCAACAACGGTTGAGTTAAAGACGAAAAATTATTAATATAGTATGTAGTTAATTGTAATAAAAATATATGATTTAAATGAAATTCAACGTGTTTATTGACCCTGCTTCAAATATAGAAAGATTCGTGTGTCTACTGCTTACAAAAATTATATAGATAATTGTTCAAATCGCGAAGCGTAATTTATAAATAATTACTTATCGGAAGTCAATATAATATTGTTGGTCATTGTGCCATAACGTTTAGTTCATTATACATTTTGTCTCTTGAATTGAATCAACGACTCAAAGTTATGATGCTTTGATTCGCAACTGCAGCAACTGTTACTGTATTGAAAATACATACCAGGTTTTGGGAGCGAAATGACGGCTTAAAGTATTCCGGGAAGGTGCGAAAGTTCAGTGGTGGTGATCCCGTTGATTGTTGATTGTTCTGGAAAGCACAAAATGATTACATCCAACAGAACATACATTTAATAGTCAGGAAAATTTGCTTTCGGCCACAGGATGGCCAGGGCTTGGTAGATAATCAGCCACTAAAGACCAACGTCGGATTTTTACTTATCATTCCTGACATTTGAACAACTTTCCGGATTACGCGATATTCAATTTTTATTTAAATCTTAGCATTAAATCTTAGCTCTACATGTTTTAATGTTCAATCTTAAGTGTAGAGATTAGCACTAGAAAAAACTTTAAAAATTTATAAATCTTAGCGTTTTAATTTTTAGATTTTCAGACTCGACCTCCGTCCGCTTTTCTAATGTTATTACGGCTACCTTTAGATAAAATTGAAATACACAATACCACTTGACAACCAAATAAATTAATTTTTGCCTTTCTACGAACTATCAAGTATGGATATTAATAATATAGTATAATAATTGAAAAACAGCAAGTTTAATGACATATATTCTCTTTTTGATTTTCTTTGAAAAACAACCAAAAAACCTCGTGGGTCGCTTATTTATTTATTTATTCTTTATGCAAAAATAGTACAAAGGCGGCTTAATGCCAAAGGTATTATCTCCCAGTCAACCTTGTGGTGGTACAGAGGAGATATAAGATACAGCCTAAGGTTTCATAAATATGGAAACACGGACACAATACGCACCCACGCTAGGAACGATAATTCTTGGATCAATTGATGTTTCTCCCGTATGGGGATCGAACCCAGAACTATTAAGATTAAACGATTATGAAATACGCGCATTCAAGTTAAATATTTGTTTTTCAATTTGTTCGCGTATTACTCACATAATTCCTGAAGATGAAATGTCCCCTGCAATAATAACAGGATACCAGGATAACAAACATTATCTGGAAAAAAAATCAAGCACAAAATAAAACTCTGGGTTTTATAGTAAAATAATAATAATAATAAAATCATAGTTTAAATGTCCGAATTCAGATAGTTGCAACTGTTGCGTGGCTTACCTTACACGCTGCCATTTTGGAAAATTCTCTTTGACCTTTTCTTTAAGAAACCGAACAGGACTGTTCCCAATTTGTTTTGTACATTAGTTTTTATACAATCCCTAATTGTACAAAGCTAATTATTTCGTCGCTAGGAAACCATTAGCGCTACAGTCATTATTTCGTGGAAATTGTTTCGCTCGTACATATTTTTTTTTCTGTTAGTAAAGGCGCAAAAAATATTTCTATCTATCTCTCTCTCTCTCTCTCTCTCTCTCTCTCAGTCTCATATTCTTGCTTTTTGACGGGTGAATTAGAATATTTGAAAACTTGTTTTCCTATGTAAACTTTTAACAAATTATAGACTTCATCTTTGGGAAATCGCTGCTAATTGGTGTTAGTCCCATTAGGACCCAGTGATTTTTTCATTATCGATTTATAAAACATATTTAGCTCGTAGCTATATCTAGTATAAGCCTTATCTAAATATTGCTTTATGACCTAATTTTTTATATAACAATATTGTCATAAATATTGAATATGTATGTCATAATTATTGAATTGGCTTATAAATTCTATTACTTTATATAATTATACATATACTTGGATTAGAGCGTGTAAACTTAAAGATCTATATTATTAACACATTTATTCGTAACCCATAATAATAAATGTGATTCCGGATAACACTCGCTCAAATTCTAATGGCAATTAACTAAATATTCACATTAATTATCATCAATTAAATAATCATTAATTTCGTAGGCGCCAAAAGCGTGTGAAATTTCTCCTCTGCGGATTAATGTAGTATTTTTAAGTGCAGTTTTGTCCCTGGAAAAAAAAGAAGAGCAGCATAATGTAGAAGTAGGTAACCGTGGCCTAACGTAGTCCAGGTTCCAGAAAGCGCATATGCTACCACAAACACTTATAGACGGCAGTATCATTTAACATCATGTGAAGCGCCTGATGGTTTTCACCCACTATAATAAGCACCAGTCTCAGAAACAATGATTATAAAATGATTCCCTTATTACAATGCCCAGTTGGATACAATCTCAGATAACTTAGCGGCATCGGAGGCAACTGCAGTAAGAAAGTTGCGTAAATATGAGTCCCTTTGTTCAGATTACTTATCTGTGCCATTTGCAATTGTAACCTTAGCAGCCGATGATGGAGTAGCGGTAAAAAAAGCAAAAAGTAAAGTCAACTCACAGCCTATAAATGTCCCACTGCTGGGCAAAGGCCATCTCTGTAGCGAGGGTATCCACATAGGGGGCATAGTCCACCACGCCACTGCATTGCGGATTGTCGGACTTCACATTTTTTTTTAATGCGAAACGTTGTCAAACGAGCAGACGGTTCACCTGATGTTAAGTGTATACCGCCGCCCATGGACATCTGCCACACTCGAGGGTTACAGATGCGCAGACAACCTTTTGAAAATTGGGCTCCGGCTACCTCAATCACCTGACGAAACGCGAAAGTATTTGTCATACTTCCACTTTACTCTGGTCTTCTGTGAGGCCGTGGTACTTACCCGGACGGGCCTGCCCATTCGTGCAGCAACCGAGGCTGCTGCCACTACCACACCTACCACCCTACCTTCACATAACTTCGAAATATATTTTTTTGTTTTTATTTCGAAAATATACTGGTTTCCTCACGATGTTTGCCTTCCGCCGAGCACGTAATGTCCAGCACTTAAAATTGACAATGCAAGGGCTTGATAAACCCTGCTAAGCAGAGTCGAAAGAGTCACAAATTTTGGGATTGTCAGCTATGGGTCAAGAGCCTCAAGGGGGCCCGCTTTCGGCTCATACTAGCTGTTAAATCAAAATTGTATTTATTTAAATAGACGCTCTTATGAATCGTCAAATTTTACATCAAAATATAAATTATGTATATAGGTTCGTAAGGTACCACCGGTTCAGAAGGCAGTTTCTGTCGAGAAGAGACCGGCAAGAAACTCAACAGTTCTTTTTAAGCCAATTAGTAAGCGGTATACTAACAGGTATACTAACACATCCACATCACGCCGATCTTCTGTGAGGTCGTGGTACTTAACATGCGAAAGCTTGCCTACCACAGTTAGTGGGATTTGGGAGGTAACGCATTTGCAACCCTACAGGTGTTGCAAATGTCTATGGGCGGTGGTTATTATTTAGCACTAGCTGTGCCCGCGACTTCGTCCGCGTGGAATTTGAAAAAAAAATCAAAAAAAATAGTAGCCTAAGTTACTCCTTATTACATCAGCCATCTGCCAGTAAAAGTCCCGTC